CCCCAAAACCCCAAAACCCCAAAACCCCAAAACCCCAAAACCCCAAAACCCCTAAAATTAACTAGAATATTGAAATTTAGTACTAATTTTGAGCCAAATTTGTATATTTCTTGTAAGCACTCAGTCGTTTCTCTATTCTATGAATCTCTATTCCTATCTTTTTACGAGCTAATCTACTGGAGGTCTGGGATTCAATAGTTTTACAAAACCTGCCTATCTTCTCAATATCCAGTAGATATCCTTTGTATTGAATTTTGATGATTCTTTTAACTCAGTCTGTCAAATGTGAATTTATTTGATACGGTCGACTTGTGAGATAGTAGTTTATCATTTCTTTCTGAGAGATACCCTCTTCAGGGAGAACTGGAGGATCATATTCATGAATTATATACTTCCTTCCAAATTGGTGTTTAAATTGATTGTATTTATCCATCAGCCCGTCTCCTATATTCATATTTGGATTTTGAGGAGCTTTCTTTCGCTTCTTTGCATTTTTGGCAAATGAAAATTTTACAGAGCCCGCCTGTAATTGGTCTAGAGTTGAGGTCTCTTGATTTCATTCTTTGTAGAATACCTTGCATCAATGACTGATTCAAGGTGGCTCCTCTCTGAAGAGTGTATATCCTTTCTAAAATTAAGGTAGACACTTACGAATAGTCCTTGGTAGAATTGAAGCGAACGCTTATGATCTTTTGTTGGCTGTTTCTACTTTTTACAGAATTATTTTCTCATACTTGATCTTCGAATCCGTCATCTATCTCCTGAGTATGACCTTCATGTGGTTTTTCTTTGTAACCACTATTTCTGCCTTGCATGGTTTGAAAAAATTGGTCAAATCCTTTAATATAACTACAAAGTTTCTGCTGAGAATTCGAAATTTCTAGGAATTTAGGAGGCTCACTTCGTCTCCCCAGACTTTTTCTAACAAGGTCTTTATAAACCTTTTCTAGACGGAGGACTCTTTTGTTGCTCATCACTGAGCTCGAGCCTTTGCGAGGACTTGAACTCCTAGAGTTGCACTTTGATCACTTACCTGTGAAAAATTGTGGAATTTTTAGGATCTCTTACTCCTAGAGATAATTTAATTATCAGTAATCTTGATATTTATTTCACGGCTTTTCCCTCTGCTTTGATAAACAATCGTCCGTTTCCGAGTTTTAGAATGGGATGTCGATGCTCTGTTTCTCTCTGCATTATGCACCAAGGAGAGAATATCCGAAGCCTTGCCTTTCCTATGAGGCTTTGAACCCCCAGAGAAGGAGTTTCAATGCTCTGAAGCACTACTTGTGGATTTATTTAGAATCTAATAATTTCTGATTCCTCTCATCTTCTAAGCTCATATTGGGATGATACAACTTGGTCATCTGGTAATCATGAGAATTTGCATCTAGACTGATCTGCTTAAAGGGATTCTTGGAATTCCGAGACTCTGACTTCAAAGGAGAACCCTTCCTTCACTTCCTACGCTTAGGCTTACTATTTAATGATGAGTTGTTCTTTATATGAGAAGGAGTATTGTGAATGCCAAAATTATCAAGTGTCATTGTCTGAAACCTTGACTTATTTGGAACTTCTCAAAGGCTTTCTTTTAATTAGCAAAGACTTGAGGTATTCATGATCTAAGAAAACTTCCGAGGCTTTGACGTCATCTCCAAATGAAGGCTTAACCTTGTCAGTGGTTTGGCCCCGCTGGAATGTTGATATCTTACGGTTAAAGAATATCTTGAGTTCTTTAGACCTATAGATGGAATATTAGCCTACCTTCGTAGTCTATTCTTAACAGAAAGATTGCTTGTGTTAAAATTCATATTTAAAATATTGTTTTAAGGAGGGGTTTTGGGGTTTTGGGGTTTTGGGG